TTTCCCTCTTTCCCTCTCTTGTACCTCTAATCTCTGGGCTTCCGTGATGTCCTCAGGGACCCTCCCCCCCACGCCCCCACCCTTGCTATGTCTAACCTCTGGTCCCAGTGCCTGGCAGCTCTTCAAAGCTGGCTCACATTTTCCAAAAAAAGGTTGATCTCCCCGCGATGGGCTTGAGGTCGGGACCCCCATGGGTTCCCCCACCCCCTGTCACTGACACCAGGGTCTACCCTACCCTAGGGGCTGGTGGCCTTGTCACCAGCCAGCCCCACTGCAGCCTTAGCAAGCCTGGGGGCCTGGCCAGGCGGGGCCCCTGGTCTGTCAGGCCAGACTTTGACAAGCAGAGGCCAGAGACTGGGGGTTAGGGGGGCTGGTTGTGAACCCCTGTCCTAAGACTTGGGTTCCCTGTTCTTTTATACCTTCCCTCTGAGGGCAGGAGAGGGGTCCCGACAGCAGGCTGGGCTCCGGTCACAATGGTCTTGGAGCTGTATAGGTGGGTGCAGCCAAGTCCTCTCCTGGGAGGCCCCATCCCAGTGGGGACAGGAGCCCCATGTCCCTGGTGCTAAATGCTCTCTTCCCCTTGGGCCACTGGGTGGGAGCACCCTTCCAGCCAGACCTCGGGGGCCTGAAGCAATAATGGAACCTCAGCAGTGCCAGTGTCGACGGGGTTCTTGTTTTACCAGCTTCTCCATTTCCTTTTTATTTCAAAAGTAAGCACCTGGATATTGGACTGAGGGTGCTGGGGCTTCCTACCCAACCCCTGGGCTGGCAGTAGGTGGTGGGGAGGGGCTTAGCTCATCACCTCCACTGGGATTCGGCCGTGAGGGCGTCTGTCCATCTGGACTTCTCAGCCCCGTTGGCCAGATCTCAGGTCCGGAACCTGGGCCTGTCCCTGCCCCAGCTTCCCCAGGGCTCTCTGGTCTTGGGCCAGGGGGGCCTCCAGCCCCATGATCACAGTTCTGGGATCTGGGACTGGCCTTAGAGCCTGAGCTGCCGACTCTAGCATGTGCTGCCACAGTGCCCCTCACGGCGGTGGCAGCATGGCTGTGCCCAGGCCTGTGGACCCCTGATGTCTGGTCATCTGTGGTCACCCCACAGCCACGGGGTGTGTGGGGAACAGCAGGTGGGTGAGTGAGGAGAGTGAAGGGAATAAAGTCTACAACTGTTTCTTGGCCCAGTCTCTTCTTTACATGTTGCCTGCCCCGGACTATCGGCTCGATTTAAAGACTTGAACCAGAGCAAGGAACCAGGCAGCACAGCTGCAGACAGCATGGACATCATGCCCTGGACCCCATCTCCCTCCCTTACGGTGGGCTGAGCTTTGGGGAACACCCAGAGTCCGGAGCTGAGGCAAGAGCAGAGGTGCACCCCAAATGGGGGTCGGGTCTTTGAGGGGGTGCAGAATGGGCTTGAAAGAGGAGAGGACCTGGGGCTCCTAAGGTCGAGGCCCCAAAGGCAGTGCCACGGGAGGCTAGGGCCCCTGCAGGTGTGGTTTCCGTGAGCATCGGGTGTGTAGCCACCGGGGTCCTCCCATTCATGCTCGGCACTGGGGGTGCTGTGACGAGCCCTGTGGACTCATCCCTACCCTCGTGGGCGGGGATTCTGGAGGGGCCAGATATCAGAGATGCTGTGGTGGGTGCCTGGGAGGACAAAAGCTCAGATGAAAGACAGGTAAGTGGCCTCTGAGGCAGGTGGGGCTCTAGGCCCAGGGATCTGTGGTGAATGAGGCCCCTGTTTCATGTCACTTAGCTCTGGATGCAGGGGGAGGGGTCTGACTGGGAAGCAGGACCGGAGGCCAGTGGGTGGTGCAGGTTCCCAGGCGTGGATGCTGCCTGTTCACACAGGTCTGCTTTCTTGGCCGAAAGGAACAGGGGCTCACTCAGGTCACCCTAGAAAAAGGCTTGCCAACAGACCGAGGCCTGGCTGCTTCCCTGGTCTCGTGGCTGGTCGGCTTTTCTGTTTCCACTCTCTTCCTTCTTGCTACCCATCGGTTTGCCTGTCACCTATACACAACCTTTTCCTCCAGCCCCACCCCACCTCCCTCATCCTTAAAGTATAGTTGACCCTTGAATAATATGGGAGTTCGGGTCACCGAATGCAATGCACTAGAAAATCTGCATGGGTCCACTTATACATGGTATCCTATATAAAGTAATATATATAACTTTTGATTCCCTCCCAAACTTAGCTACTCAGTCTGCTGTTGACTGGAAGCGTTACCGCTAACAATCACGCAACACAGATTTTGTATGTTATCTCTACTATATACTGTATTCTTACAATAGAATAAGCTAAAAAATGTTAAGAAAATTACAAAAAAATACATTTATAGAACTGTACATATTTATTGAAAAACTAGAGGCCCGGTGCACAAAATTCATGCACTTGGCAGGGGCGGGGGGGGGCGTTCCTCAACCTGGCCTGGGCCCTCTCTCAGTCCAGGAACACTTGGGGATGTCTGACTGACGGCTTAGGCCCAGCAGTCAGACATCCTTTGTGCGATTGAGGCCGGGAAGGGACATGGCAGGTTGGCCAGCTGGGGAGGGACCATGGGAGGGCTCCAGGGTGTGTCTGGCCCATCTCACTCAGTCCTGATAGGCTGGACCCCAGCAGCAAGCTAACCTACCGATCAGAGTGCCTGCTCTCTGGTGGTCAGTGCATGTCATAGTGAGCGGTTGAGCGGCCTTAGCTAAATATTACGCTTTGGTTGAACAGACGACTTAGCATATTAGGCTTTTATTATATAGGATACCATGTATAAGTGGACCCATGCAGTTCAAACCCTCATAGTTCAAGGATCAACTATATTTCCAAGTTCACCCTCACATGGCATGTGCATGGAAGGCTGGGAGGCAGAGGCTGCTCGGTGGCTGGGGGCCATGAATGGTGGGCACCACAGTTGGCATCTCTGTGCACTCTCCTCCGTTTTGCTCTTTGGGACCAACCAGCTCACTAACACCTGGTGGCCTGGCACACGGGCAGAGCAGCGCTGGCTGCTGGAGAGCTGGCCTTCCTTCTAGGGCACAGCAGGGGCAGTGAGATGAGGACGTGATGCGCCCCTGGCTCGGCAGTGCCCTTGGCCCTACCCCCTGATTACATGGCTTTTAGGAGTCATGACTGGTAAGTCAGGATAGGCTGGGTACAGCCAGTGGCATTAGATACATTCACATTGTTGTGCTGCCATCACCACCATCTATTCACAGACTCTTCATCTGGCAAAACTGAAACTCTGCACCTTTAGTAGTTACTCCCTGTTCCCCTTGCCCACTCCCAGCCCCTGGCACCCACCATTCTACCTACTCTCCTTGTCTATGAATCTGACTGCTCTCAATCCCTCCTATAAGTGGAATCATACAATCTTTGTCCCTCTGTGACAGGTTTATTTCACGGAGCTTAATGTCCTCAAGGTTCATCTGTGTTGTAGCATATGTCAGGATTTCCTTCCTTTTCAAGGCTGAATAATATTCCAGTGTATATGTGTATACCACATTTAACAATCCCTTTATCTGTCTATTGTCTATTGACATTGGGTTAGTTCCACCTTTTGGCTATTGTGATAATGCTGCAGTGAACGTGGGTGTACAAGTATCTCTTTGAGATGCTGCTTCAACACCGTTGGGTACATTAGCAGAAGCGGATTACTAGGTCATGTGATAATCCTATTTTTATGACAAACTAACACACTGTTTTTCATAGTGGCTGCACCATTTTTACATTCCCGCCAACCAGGGCACAAGGCTTTCAACTTCTGCACATCTTCTGTTTGTTTGTTTTGTTTTTATGTAGCCATTCTAATGGGCATGAGGAGGTATCTTGCAGTTTGGGCTTAATTTCCTTAGTGATGAGTATCATTGAACATCTTTTCATGTGCTCATTGGCCATCTATGTGTCTTCTTTGGAAAAATTTCTATTCAGTTCCTTCGCTCATTTTTCAATCAGGTTGTTTGTTGTTGTTGAGTTTTAGAGGACTTCTTTTCTTGTCTCATGGGCCTGAGATGCCATTCATTATTTTTCACTCTACTTTTTAAAAATATATATACTCTCTATTCTTCAGATTGGAAGTGTTCTATTAACCTGCCCTCGAGTGCACTCACTTTATCCTCTGTCATCTCCCCGCTCCTACTAGGCCATCCAGCAAGTTTGTAGTTCTGTTATTCTATTTTTCAGTTCTACTATGATTTCCACTTGGTTCTTCTGTATAACTCTCATGTCTTTGCTGAGATTTTCTTTCAATTTATAAAAATTTGTTTCAAACGGTTTTGTGATGTTTGTGGAAGCATTGTTATGATGGCTGCCTTAAACCCCTTGGCAGATCACCCCAACCTCTGGCTCGTCGCCGTGTTGCTGTCAGTTGGTTCTTTCCACATTTCAGTTGTGATTTTTCTGGTTGTTGTTATGACGGGTGATTTTTTAAAAAAAATATGTTTTATTGATTTTTTACAGAGAGGAAGGGAGAGAGATAGAGAGTCAGAAACATCAGTGAGAGAGAAACATCAACCAGCTGCCTCCTGCACATCTCCCAGTGGAGATGTGCCCACAACCCAGGTACATGCCCCGGACCGGAATCAAACCTGGGACCCTTCAGTCCTCAGGCCAACGCTCTATCCACTGGCCAAACTGGTCTCGGCATGACGGGTGATTTTTATTGTATCCTGGACATATTGGCTATTATGTTAGAGACTCTGAGTTCTTTTTTTATTTTTATTTTTTTAACAAACAGTTGCCCTGCTTAGGTTTAGCATGCAGGTCCAGGCCTACTTTGGTGGGCTGAGGTTCCAATGACAATTTCATTTGTCACTTGTTCCCACTTCTGCCCAGCAGAGGAGTTTTTACAGGCCAGGTACTACTGAAAAACTAGAGTCCCAGTGCACAAAATTAGTGCACTGGGGGCGGGGCGGGGGGGGGGTGGCGCCAGTCCCTCAGCCCAGCCTGGGCCCTCTCACAGTCCAGGAACCCTTGGGGATGTCCGACTGGGCGTCACAAGTCCCATGAGGTGACTTGTGGGTGATGGATATATCCCTCTACCTTGATGGGGTTTCACAATCATGTATGTTTATATATACATAAAAACTTACCAAATTGTACACGTTACATATGCGCAGTTTATTGGGTGTCACTTATGCCTCAACAATACTGTTTAAAAACAGCCTGGCCAGAGTGGCTCAGTGGTTGATCATTGACCTATGAACCAGGAGGTTTCGGTTCGATTTCTGGTCAGGGTACATGCCCAGGTTGTGGGCTCAATCCTCAGTAGGGGGCATGCAGGAGGTAGCTGATCAAGGAGCCTCTCTCATCACTGATGTTTCAATCTCCCTCTCCCTCTCCCTTCCTCTTTGAAGTCAATAAAAATAAATAACTAAATAACTAAATAAAAACAACATAAGACTGATTCCCTATTTGCTAGCCATCCTAATTTCAGTTTCTATAAAATGGGGAAACTAATACCTACCTCATAATATTGATGTGAAGATTAAAGGGATGAAATGAGATGACATTCAGTGAAGAGCAGTGGAGTCACGCTGCCTCCCTCTCTCTCCTACACCCACATCCAATCTCCCTGGGTCATTCACAGAGTGGGCACAGGCCTGGCCATGACCTGGTAGTTGTCGCAGTGGGATGATGAGCACATGGGACGTCAGTATACTGTTCTCTCCATCTTTGTATATGTTTGCATCTTCCATAATTCGAATTAAAACAACAACAGTGGCTCCCCGTTTCCCTGAGGGGAAAACCAACGCTGTACACGCCGCACGCGGTCCTGCATGGGTCCCTCGCCCTCTCCTCTCTGTCCTCATCTCCTTCTACTCACCTCATTCACTGCTGCAGCCCCACTGGCCTCCGGCTGTTCCTAGAATGAGCCAGACACTTCCTGCCCCAGGGCATTTGCTCCAGCTGTTCCCTTCCCTGGAGTCCTGCTTTCTCCCTGGCTTGAACCTGCTCAAATATAGACCTTTTAGTGAGCCCATCCTGACTATTCCATTTTACACTGTTACCACCTCCACCTGTCACTCCCCACACCCCCTTCCCTGCTGTCTGTCACCATAGCAGTATCACCGGACATGCTGCATAATAATTTATTTATTGCTGTCTTCCACACCCACCCCCCCGACCCCCACGCCCTGGGCTGAAGGTAAGCTCCATGAAGACAGGAATTCCTGCCTGATGTTCAGGTGCTTCCTCAGCAGGCTCTCGGTGAATGAATGAGCCACGTAACGGAATGCCTGGTAGGGAGTGAGCACGATGGGATTCATCATGATCTAAAAATACATCGTGGACTCATTCGGTAAATATAAGTTAATTGTTCAGTCAGTACCTTCTGTCTGACCCTTTTTGTTGTTGTTGTTAATTTGTGGGAAGCGGTAAGATAAGGATACCCACAGTCCTTGGAGGCAGGCAGATCGGCTTTGAATCCGGGTGGGCCACTTGTCCGCTGTGTGGCTTGGCCAAGTTGCCTAGCCTCTCTGTGCCTTGTGTCGCTGACAGTACTTGCTGGAAGAGCCCTGCAGTCCAGGGCTGGGTTGGAAGCCCACCACTTGTCCTCCTTGTCCTCTCTGCACGGTGGACAGGACCACCTCCAGGGCCTTCCCAGGTGCTGTGCGTTCTGGGACCTGCTGGCAGGGTGAGCAAGGGATGGTCAAATGCACTGCTCAGGAGGAACAGGCAGTGACATGGCTGGGATCACAAAAGGGGAGGTGACTCAGTCCTGGCCCAGCCTGAGGTCCCCTCTCCAATCCTCCCATCCCCCCAAGCCTGCGTTATAAACAAGTGACTCAGAGGAGTGATGGGAGAATACCCCATAACAGTTCACACCAGTGTCCTGGGGGCTAAATTTAACCCACAGCTGCAGCCTCTGGCACTTTGGAAACAAGTTAATCTTGGTGGCTGAGGCTGTTGTGTGTGTGTGTGGAGCGGGGTCGGGTGGTCAGGAGTCCAGAGCAGTGTGGGCATAGGGACTGGCTGTCCTGGACCTCTACCCTGATCCCTTAGGCTGTACACAGGGTGTAGGGGCCCTAGGGCCAGGCAGGCTCAGGCCAAGCTTAGAATAGGCCAAGACCAATGAGCATAGACAGTGAACGTCTTTTTGAACCGTAGAATCCAGAATGTCCCTCCCCCAGAATGTTAAAAACCTGGGCCTTAGACACCTAGAATAGTCGAATTCTAGGAAATTAATTTTCTAGCATGTCTGACACCTAACAGTGTTAATACCCTGTGACTGTGTACTCCTAGGAATACAGAACCTCAGTGCTTCTGAACCTCAGCTAAGGCCCTCCTAGTCTAACACCCCACCTCCTCATAGGGTAGGAAGGGAAACTGAGGCTCAACAGAGAGATCTGACCTGCCCCAGGCTCCACAGAAAAGTGGTCACCCGTGCAGGAGGCAGCCAGTTGGTGATTCTCTCTCGTCATTGATGTTTATCTCTCTCCCTCTTTCTTCCTCTCTGAGATCAATAAAAATGCTTGGGTTGTGGGCTGGGTCCCCAGTAGGGGGTGTGCAGGAGGCAGCCGATGATTCTCTCTTATTGATGTTTCTCTCTCCTTCTCCTTTCCTCTCTGAAATCAATAAAAATATATTAAATATATATATTTTCCCCCTAAAAAATGGCCATCTAGTTTACCTAAGGCCCCTTCTTGCTTTCTTGCACAGTTGAAGGAGCACCTCAGAGCTGGGGCAGACATGGGAGACGATCTTCCCATTTTAAAGGTGGGACAACAAGGTCCCCAGTGACTGAATGTCATGCTCAAGTCCTCTGAGCACAGACCCAAGCACACTGTATCCAGAGGTGGCTGGAGTGTTATATACTCCAGAGAGGAAATAGAGGCACCTGATGGAAAGACCCAGAAGGCATGAAGGGAGACCGAAGGTGGGCCTCCAAGACCTGCCCCTCCCTGATGTAAGGGGCAAAGCTCGGGTCACCCCCTCCCCCAAGGGGCACTGCCCAACCTCGGAATGCGATCAATGCCGTGCTGTGCTCCATTTAGAAATGAGGCGGTGAGGCCCTCACCTTCCCAGCAGGGCCCAGAAACCCCACTCCCGTCCCATGAGTCCGCGGAGCTGAGTCAAGGCTGCTCTGGGAGAGGGCCTCTCTCTGCCCAGCTGTCCCCTCTGCGTCATGTGCAGGAGGCCAGGCAGCTCGTCTTACAGGGCCAGGCCCACCTCTATATATAGCCCACCGAGACAGCTGTAGACGGAGCACAACCCAGCAGGAAAGCAGGGAACAGAGAGAGGAGGCCCCTGGCACCCCTGGTCGCTGCACCCTAGGCCGCTCACCATGGCGCTGGGCTTGGAGCAGGCGGAGGAGCAGCGGCTATACCAGCAGACGCTCCTGCAGGACGGGCTCAAGGACATGCTGGACCACGGCAAGTTCCTGGACTGCGTGGTGCGGGTGGGCGAGCGCGAGTTCCCGTGCCACCGCCTGGTGCTGGCCGCCTGCAGCCCCTACTTC